GATTGTCTTTTTCATATCGTTTTTTTAAATTATATTGATGAATTAGTAGAAAATTCAAATTTGATAATCTACCCGCATAATCAATCTGATAATAATAATATTATTATTATCGTACGACATTTATGGGGCTGTGCAACAAAAATTATTTTTAGGTTTTCAAAATTTTGATGCGTACAACCACCTGACTATAATATGCATGCGCGATTAACCAAATTCGATTAATTAGCATTCATGTACATTATGAGAGGAATTCTTGGCGTAAATATATTCATTCGAGGAAGACATAGAAGGAAAATGCTTAAAAGGGTAGTTTTGTGTAGTTTGAAACTTCTAATTTTGTTTTTTTGCGCATCCACTAATATTATATCTTAAATTAATATATAAACATGTCTACCGATTTATATGCAAAAATTTATAACTTTTTGGTAAGTGCACAATTAGAGCATATTACTGCCGTCTCAGTTATTTATCAAGGCATAGAAGAAGAACCCTGGATATTACAAAATGAGCTAAGAAGTATTGTAGATCGGGCAGTAACATCTGCTAGCAATTTTTATGATGAGGGGTCTCCATACTTATTGAAATTTTTCCGTATTCTTACTCAGGTTTGTTAAGATTTTTTTATAAATGTCATTCCTTTCATATGATGATTTATGTGGTCCACTCGCAAATACGGGTGCTGAAAAGGTAGTATTAGCCTGCAACTAAAGGAATTGTTTCTTGAAACTGCATGGAGGATGTTTGAACTACCGCCCATATTTTGATCATTCCATTAGCTCTGCCCCAGGAAAATTTCCCGATGCATGAGGGAGTGATTAGACTATAGGTTATAATGTGGCTATTCTAGTATCACACAAAGTTTTATTGATGTGGCGGCCGAACAGAAATAACAACTTTGCATATGTACTGATGATATATGCGTTTATTAATGATAAGATTTTTTATATAACTGAAACTAACGCATTGTAAATTTATTTTAGTTTGAAATTGCTTTTGAAGGAGTTTGTAGTTTGCGCGACATCGGAAAAGTAAAAACTTACGAGAGATTTTCCCTTAGTCCGGATGAAATTAGAAAGAATATAAATGAGTTGAAGGCAAAACTCAAGAAAAATACGTCGCCACTTTACCGAAGTCTATATACTGGTATAAATAATATGTCAATTTCGGGATTGACGTGGGAAGACCCTTTGGCCAGTCAAGTAATTAGTGACAATTCAGAGCTGGTGCATCAATTGCCGGAGCAATCTAAATATGCTTTTATGAAACCTGCACGCCTTATGATACCTCCTACTCTTCCACTTACAGTGCAAAATAAATGCAGTGATTATGTTGCTAACTTTATTGAGAATCGTATTATTGTTCCACAACGAAAACTCTCGCATGATGGCACTTGGAAAGAATCAGACAGTGAGCTCGCGAATGTTGCGGAAAGGATTTTGGATACCCTGTAAGTATGCTTTGGATAAATCAAATTTTTTAGACCTTAATTTTTATATTACTTATCTGCCTTGATTAGAAATGATTCTTGGAACAATCCGGCATTTGGGCCAGAGTTTGTAGATTCTTTAAATGAAGGTACATATGTGACCAACGTAGTAGTACCAGCGATCCGGGCGACGTTGAAGGATCTTCCTTTAGGTAAATCCACATTTGTCAGTAGTTCTGAACGACAAAGTGATGCCAGTGCAGATAGAAGGGGTGATGGGCGATCCGGAAAACGACCAGATATAATGTTTGTGATGAAACATAGTAGAAAAAATTACGAACTCCTATACGCTGAATGCTCACGCTTATCTTGTACAACACAAAAAGAAAAAGATGATCAGGTGAAATTATGGCGTGAGGTTAATGATGGGATGTTCTGGGTTCGCAAAAGTCGTAAGCCCGATAAAGATGAATTTGGAATTATAGGAGTACAGGTCGCAGGGAGAAAAATACGTCTAAGTGTTCTTATTCGAGACATGAGTGAGATCCATAGATATTATAACCTTCATGAATCAGAAATTCCTGTTCAACAGTCGGATCCTTCCATTGTATCTAAATTTGTTGAGACTTTATTAATATTGCGTAATATCCTTATCGTTAATATGACTCTACTACATAATGTACCTTTGTCTAGATCAATTAGACACCTGGAGGATAGTTCTACAATATCATCCCCACCAAGTTCACCATCCTCACATAGGTCATCATCACTAAAGAAACGAAAGCCAAATAAATAATTAGTATATTTATCTTATATTTTTATCGGACATTAACAAAACCAATAAAAGATTTTATTTACCAAATGAAACTTCGATATACCTGTTCATTGTATAATTTTTTTCAAAAAAAATATAAGAGAAATATTTTTTGCTAACCACTTTATGAGTCAAATCCGACTTATTTATAGTGTTTCATTCGCTAAATCTGAGAACCTGCTAGAAGAAAAAATTACATGATTAGTAATTACAATACCCAAACCATTTGCCAGATCCTTTCTTCGTAAAGCAAGTCAGGTCACAAACGCCAAGCACTAAATATATGAGCCATAGACTATATTTCGCCTTTTATGGGGAAATTAAACCTTTCAGTCTGACGATCGCTTTTGTAGAATAAAAAAATAAGACAAATTTTGGCGATCTCGGATCTCAAGTTCCGTAACATATGAATTTTGATATTATTACTGATAAAGAACAATAAACTCTCCTCATTCATATCCTTTTTTGAGCCTCATTCATAGTTGTTCTTATCGAAAAAGCCATATATAATAAGGAAAAGGCTTTATTATTAACATTATATATGTAACAGTAGAAAATAATTTTTAGCGGTATCACAAAAAAAAATCATTGTGAAACGAATAGTTATTATTATTATTATATATTAATATGTTTCATAGAACGTGTAAGAGGTCAGTTGATATATTTGTGCGATCATATGCAGGTATATCAAAATTGGATTAACTACACATGGTTTAGATTCTTGTTAAAAATTATGTGTATTAATATATTTTTTCGATTTGTTCCTCCTCGTTTTACTAAAAATGATTCAACTAGAATTTACACAAAAAATGAATCGCGTTTTAAGTAACATATACTTGATAAAATTAATATGTCTAAAACCCTTAATACATTATAAATCACATAATCACACTCATATAATCGATAAATAAGTCATATAAAAATGGTTACTATTCAGGATTTATGTGGTTCTAAATGTAGTGAAGAAGAATGGTCTGAATATTGCCGGATGCCAGTAGTTCGCACTAATGAAACTCCTAGCGAGTGGAAAGAACGAATCTGGGTTCGCTTACAGTATTTTAGAGAAAATGATCTTTTACCTTATGAGAGTAAAGATTATTTTAAAGCGAGAAAATTAATACAATTTTCAGATGGTAACTCATATGCTCCTTGCATAGGAATTGTTATTTGTTTATCTTGTAACCAATTAGTACATACTGGAGAGTATATTAAAAGAATGGAGAGACACTGGAAATTTTCATGTACCGGTAATAAATATTGTAGAATAAATTATGAGGAATATATGAAAATTAAACAAAAGCCTGAATCTGAACGCAATTTCGATGATAACATTGCATTAAATTATTATGAGCTGTGGAAATGCAATGCAATCAGTAGAATCGAACGTGCAAGGGAGGTTGGAAAAAAGATCCGAGCATGTACCATCATACAAAAAAAATTTATAGAATATTATTATCGCCCTGATGGACTTTGTGCTACAGAGTTAGCTAATCATTATAAAATATTATGGAGCATTCGAGAAGAAATGCGTCAGATTAATAACGTATAGATGGTTTGTGAAATAAAATATTTATCTATTTATTAATGTATAACTTATTTATCTATTTATTAATGTATAACTTATTTATCTATTTATTAATGTATAACTTATTTATATATTTTTTTATTGTCTTTAACTTGTTTCTAAAAAATCGAATTAGCGGTTGTTAAAGATGATTTACTATATTTTAGCGGAGCTAACATGGCTAATATTATGATTTACTATATTTTAATATTATGATTTATTATATTTTAGCGGAGCTAGTATGACTAATATTATGATTTACTATATTTTTAGCGTGATTCTAGCTCGACTCTAGCACAAGTATGATATTTCTCTTCAAGCTCTTCTTCACGCATACTCCCGAGCCGATGTCCTTTTAAGTTGATATCTTGTAATGTATATACATTGGCCATATTTTTTCGGCTCTATGTATGGTAAAAAAATAGGCGAGAAGTTAATTTTTAATATTATGTACATTATAAATGCCATGGATACCTTATATATGATAGATACTACTTATACTATCGATAGCACACATAGAATAAATACTACTAAAAATAATATACCTAAGTATTAATACTATTGATAGTATAAGTAGAATAAATATTTAAGAAAAATATTTTTTATCGATATTATTGAAACTATCGATAGTATAAGTAGAATAAATATTTATAAAAGATATTTTTTATCGATATTATCAAAACTATCGATATGATCGGTTCTTCACGTAGAAAACGTATGCGATCTGATGCAGCAAAATTATCTCCTGAAGATTATAAAGATATCATGCAATATCGTGATATAAAATCCAAACCTTTAGAAGAATTAAGACTCAAATATCATATATCAATTTCTCGCTTATATCAAATTTGGAGAGGCGAAGAATTTGGTAGAGTTGAATGGTATCAACCTGTTTCGGAAGATTATCCCAGACCAGTAAAGTTACCTGAGGTACAGAGTACTATTTCTCCTGAAATACATCCTAATCGAATCGAAGGAGAGGTTTTACATCTGGAATCATCCATTCTTCCCAATGAACGGATAAAAAAGAGAAGGCCCAAATCAAAAATAGTTCGCTCATCTGATTCAACCCTAGTCAGTAACGACTTTTCTGATGACTCTACAAAAAAAATAAACCAGGAAGAATTGAATGCATTATATGAGCGAGAAGCTAAAAGAGACAAGAAGAATATAGAAAATATGACTCGTTTATTAACTTAGAATCCAGAAGAGGCGCGATTAAGTAGTTTTTCATAGCTAGCTTGCATCTTTTCAGAAAATTCATTAATTTCTGCTTTAGACTTGAGAACGCTATATAACTTTATTTCTAGATTCACGCATTTCTCACAATTCATGCTTTTTTTTTTAATGTCTCATCATCCTGTGAAATTTGATCTGAAATTGAGGTATCGGTATTCTGTACTACATTAGCGCAATTTACTTCGAGCTTATTTTTTACCTTGTGCATAGTTACTGGAATAATGTGATCTTTCCCATTGAAAGGAATTTTCAATTCATCTTTCCCCCAATCTATAGCGCATTTATATTTCTTGAGAAGTGGGTTTGGAAATATCAATGTTGGTTTAGGGACACGTACAACTACAAAATCTTCACGTATAGTAAAACCTGGAGGGAATGTTATTGGAAAATTACGAGCAATACCAATAGATTCTGTTGGAACTGTAGCAACTCCACTAAGATCATATTTTTCTGATTCATCAATTGGCCAATTTACACGTTTAACAATGTCTTCCGATGTAATTGGAGGTTCAGCTCCACTATCTAGTACCAATGCTGGAATTTTTAAGCGTTTAATTTTAACCGGTATAGTTGCAAGGCTTGTGGTAGGTTCCCTTCTTCGAACAAAATCTATTTCCATAGGATCGTCTAAAGTTTCTTCTTCTCCATCCTCACTATGTATTTCTGGAATCGGTTCTCGATAATTTGTGAAATCTAGTCGAGTCGGAGACTTGAAATTTTTCTCCTCCTGAATAGGCGTAACTATATTAGATGAATTTTCAATTTTCATTTTAAGTTTGTCCATCAAATCCACAGGTAGGATACCGTCAAACATGTCTAGTATAATTTTTTGAAGGGATTTATCAATACGATTTGATTTAACCGTGATAGTTCCGCTATTTTGTCCTTTATCAGAAGAAGTTGATTTTTCGCTCCGTTTTGTTTTACGAGTTTTTGACTTCTTTCCGGAAGACGATTTATTAGAATTTTTCTTCCGATTTACTTTTTTTTTTCTTTGGATTTAGTAATGTTAACGTTCATACTTTCAACTTCAGATGAAGAATCACTAGAACTAGATTCAGATTCACTATCAGAAGAGTTAGTATCCGAATCAGAACTAGAAATTTTATGAGCGATATTAACCTTAGCTTTTCTCTTAGATTTTTTCTTCTTACGAGGACAATTACGGGAATTATGCCCGGTTCTATTACAATTGGAACATCTATGAGATGATTTATTGGAAGCGCGAATACCTGTTTTCACCCCCTGTGCATATCCTTTGGACATAGCCTTGTTTATAGATAACTTACTCATACGATTGGCCAATTCATCATCAGAATCATCATTTTGAGCCTGTTTTCTTTTAAAATATTCTCCACGTTTATTATAACTTTCGATAAAATCTACTATAGGTTCATCCCGAAATCCCATGTTGTATAATTCTTTTAATAACAAAGCGGCTTTTATTTCTTCCATATTTTTTGGTGGTATAGTTGGCGACGTCTTTTTTGATACCTGTGTTTCCTGGGGTTCTGAAGAAGAAATCATAGATTTTATTAGGTTTTCGATTTCGGACTTACTCATACCTGGATTAACTGAAACATTATCTTTATTCCCGTAATAATTAGTCACGGATTTTTTTGTTGACGTTAGATCTGAGATTGGATGTAAATAAGCTCCAGATAACTGTTCTGCTGTATATCTTTCGATTTCTTCAAGATTTGGAAGTAAATTATCTACAGATTTTTCAAGTCCTAAACGACGAACTTCGATTTGATTTGCGGGTGAAAGTCCACGAATAAATTGTAATCGAATTTGTCGTTCATCTATACCTGCAAGCCTAGCTAACCTTCGCAAATTAGAATAGAAACGACCAACTGGTTCACCACCTTGAACGGTTGAACCAAAAAGTACTCGTTGTTTCTCTGCAGTAACTGTAGGATAGTTAGTTTTAAACCAGTATAATACTTGTCCGAGTCGAATACCAGGTACAACTACAGTATTACCTGTATTAGTATTTGGCGCATTAGGTAAACGATCAGTTGGTCGTCCATCAGCAAAAGACCAATCTTCATCAAATACTGTATGAGCTGGAATTACAACGTTACCATTCTGCCCATTTGCACGATTTAAGGCCTGTACTCCAATTTGACCAGCATTTCTTCCTTGAACGGCAGCTAAATTTGCTTGTGCCGTATTATCAAGTAAATTCCTCAATTCCCAATTTTTTCCATGGATGGTTCTTTCATACCAATCTTTAGCATCACCTTTGAGAGACGCTATAAAAACACCATGAGCATTAATTCTATTAGCATGGCCAGCACCTACATCTATTCCAGAACCTACAAGCCACAATCTAAATTCTTCAATATGTTCTTCGGGATCTTCAGTAGGAGATCCATGAAATTTTTTTAATTCGTAACCAACCATACCTGTTCGATTGTTATTTATATGCGGATTATTATTCTGAAGCGCAAAAATTTCTTGATTTAAAATATTTATTATTCGGTTCTGATCGTTGATATCATCCTCAGCTATTTCGAGCTCATTCACAATGCGATCCCGATTAAATTCCAATAAGCCTCTTTCATTGCGGCATTCTAGTAAATCTTGTTCAGCTTTGCGTCGTAATCTGATATTCTGAATATGTGTTTGCCTACAACGTGCATGAATATCATCATCTGAAGAAGAGCTTCGAATTTCTGAATCATCTGAACTAGAAGAATTCGAGTCATTAAATAGGGGCGGTATATCAGTATTAGACGTACCTTCAATAATTATGGAGCTTGATGAATTTCCACTATTCTCATTGTCGCTAGAATGTAATTCCTCTTCAATATCGCCCAAAATATCACTAGTTCTTCTGCTATGTCTATGGATTGTATCAAATTTTTGGCGCATACCTCCTGTTAGACTTCCAGTGTCGCTAGAATCTGAGTGAAAAGATGATGAGAAATCAGGGGAATTAGGCATTGGAATTTTAATCGTTAAACCTTTTGCTTCTCGTGTCTTATAGTCCCATTCAGAAAGATGTTTTTGCATTAACCGTTTATTTTCTGCCTTTTTCAAGGTATCAAGTTTAAATTTGAGTACCCTTCTATCATCCCGATTAATCTGGAAAAGTTTTCGATAAAAAAGTTTTTCGCGCAACAATTCACCAACCCGTCTATGCTTATCTTTGTATGAGAAATACCAACGCCGACGTACATTCTTTTCATTATAGTAAGCTATAGTCATCAATCTTAAATCATCATCAGATTGGCGTACTCTTGCATTTAATCTCATAATAGTTTGGGCATCTTGGTTTATTTGAGTTTGTGATAAGTTTGCTCGATTTTTTTGTCTATTAGCTATAGCTTGAACCTTAGCCACATCTTTTTTAATATCGGTAAATTCTTCCTCAAGATTTTTTGGAAGCCCTGGTATATTTCGTAATACGTAACTAATATTATTGAATGTATTTTGAATAGATTCACCAATGCTCTGGACCTCATCTATATTAGACATCTGAGCTATGTTTAACTTTTTAAATTTTCTAGACGTTAAATCTCGAATCCTATTTTTGAGAGTATTTATTTCTTCTTGAAGATCCGATATTCTGTTTTCTAAAATAATCAAAGATTCTTCCTTATAACTTATATCCCTCAATACCTTCTGGAGATGCTTTCCGATATTGGAAATCCGGAATTTAAGCTCCTCTATCTCCGATTCACAAGTTATAATGGTGAATTCTTGATGAGAAATAGTCCTATTACATTTTTCTAGATCTTTTATAAGAAGTCTGATTTTTTTTTCATTTGTATTATTATTATTCACTTCATCAGTTAGCTCTTGCCGTAATTCCCGGTTGGTGTCTAGCAGTTGTAAATATGCTGGATCGAATTTATAATCCATTTTTTATCCTTGAACTATAGTTACATAGTAAAAATGCATTAATTTTTTCGTTAACTTATATCGAAAAAAATGAAAAAAACTATTATTAGAGTCGATCCAGACGAGGAGATAGATCTAGTTTGCAAGTTATTGTTCTATCAATCAACCGGTTATCATTCCAATGCACGATCATTACATAAAGATCTCAAAAAAGAAGGTTACCGTTTTCCATATAAAAAAGTTCGTGATTGGTTACATAATCAGAATGAATGGCAAAAATATGCTCCGTCACCGAGAGAGACCCCATGGGTGAGTTATGGAAAAATTTCACGTCCGAACTGCGTACATATGAGTGATTTATTGCGCCTTACAAATGATACCGTTAATAAAAAGACATATAAATGGGTACTCACTATTATAGACGTTGCGTCACGTTTTAAATGTGCTATTCCTCTTACATCGAAAAATAGTTCAGAAGTTGCCAAAGCCTTTAAAAAAATTTATAATAATCCGGATAATCCTCTTATTTGGCCTCGGTTACTCCAATGTGATGGAGGGCGCGAATTTATGGGTGAGACGAGTAAAATAATGCAAGAACATAATGTAACGATCAGAGTGATTGGTGCATATAGTCATCGGGGTCTTGCAATTGTAGACAGATTCTGTAAGACGCTTGCAAAAATGCTTTATAAAGTACAATATGCCGTTGAAACTATATCCTCAAATCCTAAATTAATAAGAGAGTGGGTTAAGTATTTGCCGGAAGTTATCAATTACCTAAATAATTATCCAACTCGACTTATTAAAGCTCCTGGGTCGAAGAAATGGGGATTAGCGCCTATAAAAGCAATTAATTTAGAAAAGGTTGAATCTAGACCATCTACGAAATATAAACGTCCGGTTGGAAGAGATGAAAAAAAGTTAAAAAAGGG